AACAACTGACTTTTCTTTTTGATGAAGTGACTCACTTTTGCAAGTTATCCACCATGGTTTGCAGTTTGCACTAATTGTTTTGAGAAGAGCCTTAGTAGTGGTGCAGAGATCAATTCTGTTGTGAGAAATGCACCAAAGCAACTGAGAAAAACTGTAAATTGAAGACTATTGGAAAAAATGAACCTCCAGCTCTTTTAGCGCTATGATGACAGTAAATACTTTGGTCACAAATTTATGGTTTGAATCCGGCTCAAAGCCTCGAGATTGGGTTTTAATTAGCTAACAGGTGATGTCATGGTTACTATGACATGATGAAATCATAATCGCACTGTTCTGATGACATAAACTCGAGTTTCCCCCTCTAGATCATCTATATATTTGAGGTTCTGTGAGTCAGGAAATATTTAAAAATGGGGATCCAGACACTGTCCTTCACAATCTATACAGTTGAACAAAAACTAAATGTTATTAAAAGTCAGAAAAAACATTTTTCCCTAGGTGGTATTTTACGCCTACTTGTATTTACTGATGCTTATCCTGATGCTTTTATTGGGTGAGGGGTTTTTAAAAAATTTTGTTTAAATAAAAAATATTTTGTTGTTAAACTGGTGTTGCTCTGAAGACAATCTACCCAGACAGTGGATAATGGAAAATCAAATATATCAATTAAACAATCAAATATTCTGGGAAATAGAAATATACAGAAATAGAAATGTTATAAAGGGTGATAGCTTTACAGCAGACAGGATTTCCTGGCTTGGTCCTTGTGACAAATTGACTTGTCTGTCAGAGAAAGTCCCTCATGGCTTGTCATGTAGGTGATGGAGAGAGTGCTCAGGATAATCCCTAGTGGGTAGCAGTTGGATCAGTGTTCTGTCCACTGTGACTTCAAAGCCTTGAACCTCTTGATCAGTTTTGGTGCTGGCTGCTGTTACATTGCTCCCCCAGAGACCACAGTTAAGCACGCTGCATGGGCCACAACCTCTGGTGCTGAAACATTCAGCCACTGCTTTACAGCCTGGTAGAAACAATGGTTTTCTGATATTAAAAAAAGGCCAGAGGCACTTCTACAAAGGAGTGGAAACATGGTCTCATGGCACATTCACCTCCTGCTTTCTGGTCTGTGCAGTCTGAACCTGTTTTACAGAATGATGAATCTGAGGAACCTGGACCTCAACATTTTTGAAGCAACGTGGAATCTTCTTGACAGAAAACAAAACAAAAGGCAGCTAATATCTGAAGAAGAGCTTTGAATGTCCTTCAAGTAATCTGAAGAATGATCCCTGTAGATAAAGATTGAATTTCAAGCTTGTTCCAATTATTCAAACTCTGTTTTTGACTCATTTGCTGTATTTACAGTAACAAATGTTTCAATAAAGTGCTGCTCGTATTTCCCTGTAAAAGATGATGAAATGAGGGGTGGATTCCTGAATCAAGGCTAGTGCTACCGTGAAATGAATTGCTGCGTTTGCTTGCACCACTATAAGGGTGATGTTGAAATGTAGCTGATTATGTGTGCCAAAGCCTTTGGGTAAGATGATCCGTGAGAGGAAGAAGTGGCTCATTGAGAACGAAAAATGAAAAATGAAAAATGAAAAATGCATGAAATTATGGGTAATGTCCTTCACACTTCCACTCCTCAGTCTATCTCTCTCCCCTCAGTGTTTGTAGGCAGGAGGCTAAATGGATCTGCGGCTTTGAGGGAAGCGTTAATTCACCAACAAAACAGACTCTAAACCCACAGAGAGAAGTGAACATTCATTCCAGCCAGACTGTGATTATCCACGTGAGTTGTCACATCACGGTGGGTAATTTGCTAAATAAGAAGGTAACAGTGCGGCGACTTAAATCAAAGCCCATTAGCCTTTCTATCATTGAGCTGGCCTTTGTTTCTATAGTTGACACTTCCATGTCTTTATCTTGAGATGTGAATTATTCAATTCAATTCAATTTTATTTATATAGCGCCAAATCACAACAACAGTCGCTTCAAGGCGTTTTATATTGTACAATTATTCAGGCAATAATTTAATTAACATAAAAGAGTATCACAGTTTAGGGACGATAAATCATTGTGGTTTTTATTTCAGTAAAACAAATGCTGTAGAATTTTGATACAAAATGACACTATCACCGATTACTTTGTATTTACTGATTATATTAGAGTAAATACACCGTCTCCGGCTGCTGTGGTAGCTTTTGATGATTGACCTACTTACTAGATTTGCATCATAAAAGGAGCCCACCTTAACCTTTATGAAGGGACTCTGGATTTGTGCTCAAATGTAAACCCTGAAGTAACACCCTGCAGTATATTAGTATGAAGAACACAGACAGCTGTTTAAAATCATAATTATCATCTGATTTATTTATTTATTTATTTTTTGGTAGGGCAAAACATTATCTATTAAGCTTCATTGCCAACACTTTGTCAAAAAGATCTCCTTATCCTCCATAAATATCATCCAAGGCCACCTTTTACTAGACTGAGCACAAGAGATACACTTCATTTCCACATTCTGATTACTTTGTTCCCACATTTTAATTAATTTATTCCCAGATTTTGATTAATTTACGGTTAAAAGGTCAGTGTATAAAGAGAGAGCCAAGACCACACATCATTTTTCGTCCTCCCTGAAGCCCCGGTGAGAACTGTAAGGGAGCAAAACTCCTCTCAATAACAGATGAGCTGCCCTAACATTGTGATATGTGCATCATTAACACAGAAAGTGCATTATTAACAAGAATTTGAGACAGAATTGATAGATAGATAGATAGATAGATAGATAGATAGATAGATAGATAGATAGATAGCAAAAGTATGGTGCAGGGACTACAAAGGCAGAGAGGGCAGGTCTTAGTAAATGCTCCCGGGAGACTGATCTAGTGCTGTCAGTTGCAATGATAAACTCCAGAGGAAGCCTGCAAGACAACACAAACAGACAGAAGAAGAAAAACACACACAGGAGGCCCGGCCCAAGCAGCAGGGTCACGGTTATGGCTGCAAATATATAAGTTCGTACATTTGATACTGACACTTGAAAATAGTATTGTGATGAGCTGAAATGTAATTTACAATATTCAGAAAGTAACAAGTTCTATCTTCCATCAGTACTTAGCCCTCCTGTTATGTTGGTTTCCAGGAACACTTATGTTCCTGGGTCAATTTGACCCGGGGCATTACATTTACTCATCCAAAAGTGTCACAAACACTGGCATTGATTATTTTACAATTTTCTTTTATAATTTAGATTTTTTTCGTTTTCGGTAGTGATGCAGATGACATGTGACATCTTTTCTGTTCTGGGTCAATCTGACCCGCAACGTAACAGGAGGGTTAAAGGAGGGTGTTTGCCTTTTTTAATTGAACAAAACTGCCTTCCCCTCCAATTTAGCAGCAAGAAAGAAAACGTCAAACTTCAAACATGAAGGAGCTTTAAAGTTTCACCGACTTCAACCACCAGTAAAGGTATTTGTTATGGTCCCAGTTTGATGGGAAGTAAAATGCTTCTCTGCAGCTCCGAGCAAACATCAAATCCATGTTATGATGAAGTTTCTCCAGTGAAAATAAAGCTGGGTAAAGGAGGCTGACTCTCCTCAGCAGCATCCCCCCGCCCCCCTTACAGCTTGCCGAATAATTCGTCTGTCGTCCTCCAGATCTAACATTAGAAGCGGCACCGATTCGTGAATGGTTAACCCGAGTGGCGGCGTTGGTTGTCATTTTGCACAGCGGACGAATGAAGCGGTCTGAAGCAACAGCTGCAGTGACTGCAGTAACACGCTCTCTTTTAGCGATCACTGGTAACGGCGGGTAAGTCGTTTATTTCTGGGTCATAAATTGGTTTAATTCCGATTTGTTCCCCCCTGACTTTATTTATCTTTGGAATAACGTCAGGAGGATGGGAAGGTATGAAACAGCGACAAATTAAAGGATGAGACTAGAAGTTTAGGAAATGTTTACATCTCGGTTATTTTATTTGTTTGTTTTTTTTTTGCATTTTCTTTACCTCTTTTTGAATCATTTTGTACGTTCTTCTATATCCTCTGCATTCTTTGTGTGGCAATATAGTTAAAGCTGGACATACATTCTTCGGTAGAAAATGCCACATATGCATAAGGCACAACACCTTTTGCATTTATTATCAGGTTGAATGAAGATTCCCCCCCCCCCTTTCAGACTTGCAGTTCCGCGCTGGAGATGTTGGAGGAGAAGAGATACACATTCTAACTTTTATTTTCTTCTCTTTTCATCTTGTTTTTGGGTCCAGTCAGTCCGATCTCCGTCAGGCTATGTACCACCAGCTGACGGATCAAACGGTGAATGGCAGCTGTCAGGGACCCACCTCAGCGTGCAATAAGAGTGCAGATGGAGACGCGCTCGAGCTTCCCACTTTCTCCACAGCAGCTAAAGTCAGAGTTATCATCACCTTTGCTCTGTGCGCGGTGTCGGCTGTGTGCAACTTGGCCGTGCTGTGGGCCGCCAGCAGCGGCGGCAGGCGCAAGTCACACGTCCGGATCCTCATCATGAACCTCACGGTGGCCGACCTGCTGGTGACTTTCATCGTGATGCCGGTGGACGCGGTGTGGAACATCACGGTGCAGTGGCAGGCGGGGGACGTCGCCTGCAGGCTGCTGATGTTCATGAAGCTGGTGGCGATGTACTCCTGCGCTTTTGTGACAGTGGTCATTAGTTTGGATAGACAGTCCGCCATCCTCAATCCGCTGGGAATCAGTGAGGCCAAAAGGAAGAGCAAAGTCATGTTGGCTGTGGCCTGGACCATGAGTGTCATCCTTTCACTCCCTCAGGTAAAAGAGGACATGGTGTTGCTACCCTGTGAGTTTGCAGTTTAATGAGGAAAAAAAGTGAATTAATTTTTATTTAAATTGGTAACCCATAATTCAAGTTTTGATCGTAAAATTTGAAAATACCACGTGGTTAAACTAAATATAAGCACATGAAAACACTTTTGAGTTTAAATATAAATTTCATTAATTTCTAGACTAAATAAACTAAATAAATGATTAAAAATAAATATATTCCACATTTGATCTCTCATATATTTTAGTATGAGAAAAAGAATTTTAATAATAAATCTCAGTTTTTCTATGTGGAAAAAGCTCTAGTTGCTCATTGGCCAGACTGACCTCTAAGTTTAAAACAGAATTTTTTTGTTAATTGACAGAAATTGTCCCTTTTTCAGAAACAAATTGTTTATCTCTCAGTTATTTACTTTGGTGTAGTGTGAAGGGCTATGGTGGAGGTCTTTATCATTCGGAAAAGCTAAAAAAATGAATGTGTTTTATGATTTTTTAATATGTGAAAAAATAGCTCACATTTTCCAAAGCTGTCCAGCAGGCCAGACTGGTAACTGTGAAACTGATAAAGCCCCCCCCCCCCCTATGCCTTTACCCTTCAGTTAGCGCATAACAAAGGGGGCTGGGGACCTTCATCAGGTTGCCTGCAGGAACTTAAGAATTCACAACATAACTTGTTATACACAGTGTTCATGTGACTAAATTGTATGCAATTTGCACACTTTTCAGCCGTTTGCACACTTTTCAGTGTGCTTATCACAAACCAGTGTGGCAGAGGTGCTCACACATGGGACCTACTTGAAGTTCAGTGTCTTGCCCAAGGGCACTTTGACACAGAGAGACAAAGTTCCATTTAACAGACTTTTTAGACTTCACTTAATTTGTAGAGTGAGATTAGACAGGATGGTATCGGACTTGTTCTTATATAGTGCTTCTCTACTCTATTTGAGCACTCCAAGCTCAAGTAGCATCAGGTCAAAAGTGTATGGTAAATGGCTTGTATTTGTATAATGCTTTTACTAGTCCCCCCTAGGGACCCCAAAGTGCTTTACACATCCAGTGATCCACTCATTCACACACTGGTGGAGGCAAG